CTTTCTAGAGAGTGCAGATTCAGGGGCCCTTAGTCTATCCTCATAGGGAAGGTTTCTGATACATGGGATCAACTTTGTCATCCTTCTTTGTACATTTTCCAGAGCATTTATATCCGTTCTGTAATACGGTGACCAAAACTGTGCAACATAATCTAAATGAGGCCTAACCAAGGATGTATAGAGTTTAAGAACAACCTGAGGACTCCTATTATTTATGCTTCTTGATATGAAGCCAAGGATTCTATTAGCTTTATTGCGAAACCCTTTCGCACTGTTGTCTTGGTTTCAGATTTTCTGCTAAAACCCGAACTCCTAAATCTTTTTCGCAATCCGTAATATTAAGATCTACATTATTTAGTTTATATGTGGCATGGTTATTGTCCTGTCCAACATTTAGAACTTTGCATTTGTCTATATTAAACTGCATCTGCCACTTCTCCGACCACTGCATCAGTCTATTCAAATCTTCCTGGAGTGCTCGAATGTCCTCGTCAGAATGAATTCGACGGCCTATTTTGGTGTCATCGGCAAACTTTCCGATGTCGCTTTTTATGCCCTAATCTATGTCGTTTTATGTGATTGTGAACAGCAGGGGGCCCAACATTGACCCCTGTGGAACACCGCTCGTGACGCTTCCCCACTCTGATTTCTCCCCATTTATGCAAAATCTCTGCTGCCTATTTGTCAACCATGCCTCTATCCAGGAAAAAATTTCTCCTCCTATTCCATATGCCTTAATTTTCCTCAATAGTCTCTGATGTGGAACCCTGTCAAAAGCCTTACTGAAGTCCATATACACAATATCATATTCATTACCATGATCTACCTCCTCAAATACCTTAGTGAAAAAAGTTAATAAATTCGTAAGGCAGGAACGCCCCTTTGTAAAACCATGCTGAGATTCGTTGATTAATTTATGCTTTTCAAGGTGGCTACGAACTGCCTCGGCAATTATTGATTCCATACATTTTCCCACTATGGAGGTTAGGCTTATTGGTCTATAGTTCGAAGCTAAGGACCTGTCACCTGCTTTAAAAATAGGTATCACATTTGCCATTTTCCACTTATCTGGCACCATGCAGTTTGTAGTGATATGTTGAAAAGATTAGCCAAAGGTTTGCTAAGCTCCTCTTTGCATTCCTTTAGAACCCTCGCATACAGTTCATCAGGGCCTGGGGATTTGTTAGGTTTTAATTTATCTATTTGCCTAAGGACCATGTCACTTGTGATCCTAATCGTGCACAGTTTATTATCGTCCTGTTCTACATAATTTATCATTTCTGGAATATCGCTGGTTTTCCTCCTGTGTAAAAACTGAGAGGAAGTATGTGTTAAAAATTCTACACATTTCCTTATCACTGTCAGTGAGCTGACCCGAGGAACTTTTGAGTGGGCCTGTCTTGTCCCTGATCTTACTTCTGTATACCTGAAAGAATCTTTTTGGGTTAGTCTTCGATTCTCTTGCAACTTTAACCTCATAATCTCTTTTTGCTTTTCTAATTCCCTTTTTTATTTCTCTCTTTAACTGAATATATCGATTTCTTAATTTGCCCCTCTCCTCTTTTGATTTCCCTATATATGCCTCTCTTTTGACCAATCAGATAATTTAATCTATTGTTCATCCATTTAGGATCATTTTTCCCCGTGACTTTTTCCCTGTGACTTTTTCCCTGTGACTTTTTCCCTGTGACTTTTTCCCTGTGACTTTTTTCCCCGTGACTTTTTTCCCCGTGACTTTTTCCCTGTGACTTTTTTCCCCGTGACTTTTTCCCCCGTGACTTTTTCCCTGTGACTTTTTTCCTCGTGACTTTTTCCCTGTGACTTTTTCCCTGTGACTTTTTCCCTGTGAGTTTTTCCCTGTGACTTTTTCCCTGTGAGTTTTTCCCTGTGACTTTTTCCCTGTGACTTTTTCCCTTTGATTTTTTTCCCCCCGTGACTTTTTTCCCCCGTGACTTTTTCCCTGGACTTTTTTTCCCGTGTTTTTTTCCCGTGACTTTTTCCCCTGTATTTTTTTTCCCCGTATTTTTCCCCGTGATTTTTCCCTGTATTTTTCCCTGTACTTTTTCCTGGATTTTTTCCCCTGTGAGTTTTTCCCTGTGATTTTTCCTGGATTTTTCCCTGTGATTTTTCCCTGTGATTTTTTCCCCTGTGACTTTTTCCCTGTGAATTTCCCTGTAATTTTTTCCCCTGTGAGCCCTGTGCTTTTTTCCCTGTGCTTTTTCCCTGTGACTTTTTCCCTTGGTTTTTCCCTGTGACTTTTTCCCCTGTGACATTTTCCCTGTGACATTTTCCCTGTGACTTTTTAAACCCTAAGAATAAAACATCTCATAATTTCTCGGCATCTCCCCTTTATTAGTTAATATATTACAATTCCTTTTTAAAATATTTTTATTTAATTTTTTTTATTTTTAAACATAAAAATGTTTTTATTTTTTTGTATTATATAGTAATTATTTATTTTATTTTTGTAGTTTTACATAATAATTTTTTATATTTTGTTCTATGTATCTATAATTTTTAAATGTATTTTTTTCTAGTTTATTTCAAGATTATATACAGGTGTTTTTTCTCTCGGTTATCATGTTTCCCCCCCCAAAGTTTATTGTCATATTTTTTTTTTGGGATTAAATTATTTTTGTCTCTTGTGAAAGTTTTTGCGTTCAGTATTTTTTATTATTATTATTTATTATTATTATTATTATTATTATTATTATTATTATTATTTTTTATTATTTTTTAAATCATGGGGAGCACAAAACCCCGTAGGATTATATACCCTGTGGGGGGGGGGGAGGGATGGAAGGTATACAGGGTCAGTCCAGGGAAGGAGCACAACCCAACACCCCCTCCCCAGCTTCAAGCAACCCCCCCTTGTGTGTAGATACTCTTAAAAACCCCCTTTAAAATAATGTGCTCTTGTTATATACTGTGTAAAAAGTTTTTAAATTTTGTTTTGCAATTTCTTCGTTAACCTTTTCCCTTTAAATTTTCGTCGGTGAATTTAAAATTAAGCATAATTAAGAAAATTTCATGTTGCTAAAATATTTCTTAAAAATGGCGACTTATTATATATATATATTATATTATAATATTATTTAATATATATTTTATATATATATACATATACATATATATATTATATAATTTAATATATATAATATATAATTATATATATTTATATATATATAAATTAATTGTTTCAGGTATGGACCTAAGCGGGTGGTCACGGCGGATTGTGAGTACACTGTCCCCTTATCTTCCTTAATATAAGAAAATAAGAAAAGGGAAAGGGAAAACTAGAGTAGGTTGCTGGGCCCTGCTAGGCGGTCCAAGTCACAAATCTATATGAACTTAGGGATCTTTATTCCCAACGTTTCGCCCACTAGGAGGTTCTTCGGGCGAGTACAAAAGTTGGCAAAGTAGGATGTAAGCGAGTAATCAGTCTTCAGTTCTTGAGAGTAACGGATGATTAAGTCTGTTTGTTTTCCCTTTGTACCTTTCATTCTTATCTCCCCCAACTAAGTCTTTTTTGTCCCCTTTACTACATAATTTTGAGCGATTTTTGTCCCCTCTTTAACTGGAGACAGAAATGGCAGCATAATATAAATGGATATAAAACCGAAGTATAACCTAAGGACTTCTATTATTTACACTTCTAAATATGAAGCCAAGAATTTTATTTGTTTAATTGCGAACACTTATGCACTGTTGTATTGGCTTCAAATTATTGCTAACCAAATCCTAGTCTTTTTTCCATTACTTTGACTAAGATCTACTTTTTTAGCTTTTAAGGCCACGTTATTTTTTTTTCCCCCGGATAGAAACCCTTACACTTTTCTGTATTGAAATGCATCTGCCAGTTCTCCGATCATAATATCACACTATCCACGTCATCCTGTAGTTTTCTAGTGGCCACAACAGAAAGTGTCGTTTATGTAAACTGTGAACAACGAGGGTCCCAACACTGACCCCTGTGGCACACCACTCATAACAGGTTCCCATTCCGATTTCTCCCCACTAATGGAAACTTTCTGTTGTCTATCGTCAGCCATACGTCGACCCACGAGATAATATCTCCTATTTCATGTGCCGCTGCTTACCTAATCAAAGGTCTCACTTAAATCCGTATACACACTATCGCATTCTTTATCTTGGTCTACCTCCTTAAATACCTTAGTAACAAAGGTTAGTAAATTCGTAAGGCAAGAACGCCCCTTTGTGAAACCCTGTTGAAATTCGTTGCTCAGATTACATTAGCTTTCACTGACTCAGGAAATCGTAATTACACAATTGCAAACAAACCATGGAACGGGGGTAGTATGAACCCATGGCGAGTGAGTCCTAAAATTCCATGGGTTCAAACTCCACCCGTTCTGTGGTTTATAAGCCTTCACTCTTTTTCTTTGATTCTATATAGTTAAATTGTTGAATAATTTACCAACGCGCAATTAAAAAAATTCCTTTTCGGTAGCCAGTTTCAAATTTAAATTCATGTTTTACCTTCATATATTTGTGAAAGTTGGTCATGTTTCCTGACACCTGCTGCTGTCCCTGTTCACCTAGCAGTAAGTAGGTACCCGGGTGTTAGTCAACTATTGTGAGTAGCATCCTGGGGGACAAGATTAACCCAAGATACCAGAAATGCTCTGCATAACAAGAGGCTTTCTATATAGTATGTCACTGATGTCAGCTGTGGTCTGTTATACCGTGTACATGTACTTGTAGAAATAAAGATATTTTTATTATTTTCAACAAAACGGCCGTATCCCACTCAGGCAGGGTGACTTAAAAAGAAAAAAACAAAGTTCTTCTTTTTAAATTTAATAATTTATACAGAGGTGGTTACTAGCCCCTTGCTTCCGGCATTTTAGTGGCCTCTTACGACACGCATGGCTTATGGAGGAAGAATTCTGTCCCACTTCCCCATGAAGATCACTATTATTACTATTATTATTATTATTATTATTATATTATAGTAGTAGTAGTAGTAGTAGTAGTAGTAGTAGCATTTATTGTGCATGTGTACAGGTGGCAGTGTATGTGGTGGCGACCATCGCTCTGCTGGCGGTGCTGATGAGGGACTCACCATGTTCTAACTCCCACCCTACACACCCACTCCTGATTATCTCCCTCGATGGGTTCTGGGCGCAGTACATGGACAGGGGCGTCACGCCCACGCTGCAGGCCCTCGCTGACGGAGGGGTAAAGGCGGCCTACATGAAACCTTCATACCCCACCCTCACCTTCCCCAACCACTATACCATCGCGACGGTGAGTATTAATCCAGTTCCAATCAAGTAATACACCAGTTCCAATCAAGAATTACACGAGTTCCAATCAAGTATTACACCAGGTTTAGCCTGGTGTAATACGTTATATATATATATATAATATATATATATATATATATATATATATATATATATATATATATATATATATATATATATATATATATATATATATATATATATATATAATATATATATATATATATGTATATATATATATATATATATATATATATATATATATATATATATATATATATATATATATGTATATATATATATATATATATATATATATATATATATATATATATATATATATATATATATATATTATATATATATATATATATATATATATATATATATATATATATATATATGATGGAGAATCGCGGCTCCAACACTGCTGTGAATGATTTTCACAGGGTTAGTACTTTACATAAACAAAATTGATAAGTCCGCCATGTATACGTGCAAGTAATATAATACCTTCTCTATTTCCTGGTTTATGTTGGTGTATGTGTGGCAGGGATTATATCCTGAGTCTCATGGGATTATCGCCAACTCTTTCTACGACCCCGAGTACAATAGCTCCTTCGGTATGAGTACCCCTGACCCTAAGTGGTGGGGCGGTGACCCTATATGGAACACCATCAGAAGACAGGTATGTAGGTAATTTACGCACGTTACCATGTGTGATAATTTCTGTAGCTGTATTTATGTGTATCTATAACCTAAACTTATTAACTTACTTGCTGTATAATATACGGTATGGACTGTATGAGTGTTGAATGTTAGACTGTGTCTGAAGATTCTCCGAATAAACCATACCACGGGCGGGGACACAACCCGCGATCAGAGTGAAAAAACTCCAGACGATGCCTAAGTTTTATGACTCTCTGGCCGCGGGTTCTGTTCCCACCGGTGGTATGGTTTGTTTGCACTCGTGTCAGTACCATTCCGTGAATTATGATTCTGCAAACAGATCGTCGGCATGTGAACCAGACTTGGATCTTTTTATAACCGAAGACGTTTAACTTTGATGTGATAATCTGTTTTGCTTTATTTTGCTGTAAAATTAATTTTAAATTACTATATACATAAAAATACCCTCATATTATTATTATTTTACTGTAATAAGAGTAAATCTAGAGTGGTAATCAAATGGCTGCCTCCCTTGACACTGCAATGATAATCTTGCCGTATTTTCTAGCCTTGCAATGTGAAATATTTTAACTTCCTAAATAACAAAAAGGCACAATACAGTGACTGGAACAATACACAAATAACCTGCACATGGGAGAGAGAAGCTTATTTGGACCCTTTACAAAGTCACATATTAGTCGGACCGAAACGTCGCCGTAAGCTCCTCTCTCCTATGTGCGGTTATTTGTGTATTTTAACTTGTTAGATATCTGTTGTACCCTCTCCTAGAAAATGAAAATATTTAAGACATCATGAAAAGTGAAACACCACATAGATCTAAAACAGAATAGCTTGTGCTAATAGGTCTGATGAAGTGCTCCTTCCTTCTTAAGTGGATGTGACTTGGACCTGACTGGTTTAGGCCAGTACCTAAGACCAGTAGGTGACTTGGAACTGCCTAGCATGAGCCAGTAGACCTGCTGCAGTGCTCCTTCTTTCTTATATTCTTATGTAAAAAAGATTTGTATATTTCTGTTCTGGAGACCCTCTTCACCTGAGGAGACTCTTGCCTCGAGCCTAAATATACGGATCTCTCTTTACCTCTTTTTTTTTTTTAATTTCGTTTTTTTCTTCCTTCCATCGATAATTCAAATTAAAAAATATTGATTTTTTTTTGCTTAGTATACAATGTGTAGTTTACACGTAATAAAATACTGTTAAGCACAAAGAAAGCCACTAGCATGCAGTAGCTAATGAGCGTTCTTGTTCACACGTGGACAGGGTAAGATAAGTGCCACGTACTTCTGGCCGGGTTCCGACAAAAACATCAGTGGTACATACCCAACATACTATAAAAACTACGATGGCGACGTCCCCTACAAAGATCGCGTCGATCAGGTAACACTGTTTTCTTATTATAAATTGTTGTTGTGAGATTTTTAGACTGTATGACCATTGTGTAGGCGATAGGCTTTAAACAATATATACATATATATATATATATATATATATATATATATATATATATATATATATATATATATATATATATATATATATATATATATATATATATATATTATGCTTATATTGCGTTTTTGGTGCAGGTAGTGTCGTGGTTGATAATGCCAAAGAAGAAGAGACCGGATTTGATCACACTTTATTTTGAGGAGCCAGACCACACCGGACATGGCAGTGGACCCGACTCCCAGGAGGCAAGTTCATGGAAGTATTTCCAAACTTAAATTATAAGACAGCAGTAAAAGTAACTGCCGTTAAAAGTATTTTGAGAATGAAACTTCAAAACGGTAATATCATTAACTAGAGATGGTCTGTATTACGGACACAGGTAATAAATGGCTTGTGAGACCTGGTCGTAATGGGAATTAGAGCAAACTCAGCAGTAGACTATAATGTATATTTGCCTTCATTCACTATATACAGGTATGTACAATATGTACAAATAGAATAATAAGTGTATACCACGATGACAGATGGCAAAGCAGAGGCCAAAGAGAGTGCACCATCCTCAACCAGCAGGTAGGCAAGTCTGCCGATGCTTACCGCAAGTGAATCACGTTGCTTCAGTTTTGGCAGGCTTGCCTGTGATTGGTCAATGAACCAAGGTACTGATTTAACGACGGGTACCCTATCAATCTTTAAACCCTTAGCACCCGGTTCGCTGGTTGGGAGGCAGCCTATATGGGAGTGTGACATATGCGGAATGAATTGTAACATACTCTTTGCATACCACAGTCTGTCTTTCTTTTAAAGATCAAATTAGTACTTAAACACTCCAGTAACAGTCCTAAGCTTCTTATAATGTTAAACAGGAGCTCGCTTTGTATTAGTGTCTATTGATCTGTAAGAACATGATTTACATGATGAAATGCCATTATTATTTTTTAAGTCCCATTTTAATGAAGCTGAAACGAAAATAATGTACATTTTACTTTTTCCACAGGTGACGGAGCAGTTGAAGATTGTGGACGACATGATAAAAAGATTAATAAAAAGCATGGATGATTACCGCATCACTCCCTGTGTGAACATGATCATCCTAGCTGACCACGGCATGGCAGCCGCAGGCAGCGAACGGGTAATCAACCTTCCTGAATATATTCCAAATATTACTACGAGCGCTATCACCTTCGTTGGTTCTTTCAGCAGGATAAGACCCAGGAATGACAGTGAGGGTGAGGTTTCACGACTAGCTGGACGTTTTATATTTATTAATAGTTTTGTGGATCATCGCCGGTTGAAGTTATAATCATAATTTTTAAAGAGATGGACCGGTAAGCCAGCGGAAGGCCTCGGTCAGATGACCAAAAGCTCCAGCTGTGGGTCATCATATGATAGACTCGCGTCAGGAAACACTTGTCCTGTTTCCTGACAAACATTACCTAACCTACCTAACCCCCCTTTTGCGGCCCAGTCTTCGTAATTATTATACAACTGTCAATTATTAAGACACTTACTGGAAGATCAAGGTAAGTGTGTAGTGAAAGCAAGACAGAGAGAGATGCACGATTTAATCTTTAACTTCCCATTTCTTGTTCATCTCCCAAAAAGCCTGAGTGCAAAATATGTACCGGATTTCTGTAGCAGCGGGAGTATTTTTCTTGGGCTTGTCGTCCGATAGTCTTTTTTTTTTATATATACAGAAAAGGCCACTGCACTACAAATATGTCCAGCTTTAGTGAAGCTGAAAAATTCAAGTAAAGGCAATTCAGATATTATCTAGGCTATCTCAGGGTCACAACCGAAGGACTCAGGTTCAAACCTCTGACTTCTGAGAGTGGACATGTAAGGTAGATGGGTCTATGACACGTAATGGGGACCCCCCTCCCCCCACACACCACGAAGTACAAACAACAGACCAAGTCTCTATCGACAAGTGTCTTCGGCAACTGTTAAGTAGAACAGATGAAGGGAAGAAGATAAATGGAGTGTTGAGGTGAATGTGGAAAGATTAAGTCTAACTGCGGAGGCAAAAAGAGAAATGTACCAGAGGATAGTGGTACCAACACGCTTACAGGAGGGCCCCCGCATATACTGGAGGGCCCTCGCATATACATGACGGCCCCCACATATACAGGAGGGCCCTGCATAGACAGGACGGCCCAGCGTATACACGAGAGTGCCACATATACAGGAGGGCCCTGCATAGACAGGAGGGCCCTCGCATGTACACGAAGGCCCCCACATATACAGGAGGGCCACACATATATAGGAGGCCCCCGCATATACAGGAGGGCTCAGAATATACAGGAGGGCCCCACAAATACAGGAGGGCCCCACATATACAGGAGAGCCCCACATATACAGGAGAGCCCCACATATACAGGAAGGCCCCCACATATACACCACTTTCTTTTCGGTGTTACACGTTTTCGCTGGCTTTCAACTGAGTCATTATTCCATGCAACTGCGAGTTTGAGAGCGATATGTGGTGTAAATAATTCTGCAGAGAATTAGGAGCGTCGAAATTAAAAGACCAAAGGTATATTTCAGAGGGTTGAGAAATTGTTGAGGTGGTATGGGCATTTACAGAAGGTGGAGCAGGATAACCAGTGTTTTATTACTGCATGATTTTTGTACCACATAAAGAAATAAAACTGAAAATGAATTTTAAAGAGGGTCATGAATCTGGGATGGAGGGGAGGAGGGCAAGGATGTCATTCCAGGATGGGCTGGAAGGAGGGGAAGGGTGTCATTCCAGGATGGGCTGGAAGGAGGCGTAAGGGAGGTTTTGAGTGCTAAGGGCTTAAGCATCCAACAAGCTTGCGTGAGGTCTTGAAATCAAAGTGAATGGAGACAAGTGTGTTTTTTTTTATGGCTTGACGTGCTGTTGGTGTGAGCAAGGGTACGTTTATAAAGGAAATAAGGATAACCGGTTAGCCGGACTTGAGTCCTGAAGGTGGCAAGTACAGTGCTGGTGAAGGAGTGAGGATGTTGTAGTTCTCTGTCATTCAAACTGTGAAGATCAGTAACAAAGTGTAATACATTCTAAAATAGAAGTGAAGAGAAATGTAATAATAATAATAATAATAATAATAATAATAATAATAATAATAATAATAATAATAATAATTATTATTATTATTATTATATATAATAATACTGTCATATAGGATGGTTTGTTTATGTGATCCAGCACTCATAGCGCTAAACCCACATGGGTTCCATTTAACAGAATAATTAATGGGGCTATTTTGAACATTTAAAAAAAAAATTTTTTTTCTTTTTACCAGTTGAATTTCGAACTCATAGCTAAAATGGAGTTGCCGACTTTCCAGAGGTGAAGATGACGTTCATGGACAAGTTGGTGGGGCAGAAGAAGGAGATGAGAGTGTACCCGAAGGAGGATCTGCCCACCAGGTATCATTTCTCCAACAACCGGAGAATCGAGTCCATAGTGCTGGACCTGGACGCCGGCTGGACCACTAATATCTCTTATCCAGACGCTCTCGAGGGTCAGCATGGCTACGATAACTTCTTCACTTCTATGAATGTAAGGACTGTGAATGCGTATTGATTTTCCTTTTCTTTATTTTCAACGCCATTATGATCACCCCTAATATTCGAGGATCGAGGAGGTATGGCAAATAGGCAGCAAAAAGTTTTAATAGATGAAGGTGAAATCAGAATAGAAAAATGTAACGAGTGGTGTTCCGCAAGGGTCAATTTTGGGGCCCCTTGTTGAGAAAGACCTTTATTTATTTCAACAGTATCCACTAACACTCAGGTACCTGCTCACTGTTAGGTAAACAGTGACATTAGGTGTAAGAAAACATGCCCAATGTTTCCACCCATGCCGGGGATTGAACCATAAACGCCAAGTGTGTGAGGCGAGTGTGATGCCAACCGAACCTCGGGTCATTTGACATTTCGCTTGGTTATTACATATTTTTTAAATATTATTTTGCATTGCCGAGCTTTGTATTTATGTAGCTGAGGAAGGAATAGATGGGAAAAATATTTTCATTTTTTAATAGGATTACCCGATACATTCGTGACAAATAAAAAGTGACCTTAAACCAATAGGACAAATTCTTGGTATTTTTTATTTACGCCAGATTAGGAGTGTAAAATATAAAGGAGTACTGGTAAACCGTGTCTGAAAATATATGCTGCAATAAATGGATTTTGATCAGTTTTGAAAAAAATAATATTCTCGATGCTTAGAAACTCAGAAAAATCAGGTTTGAAAATTGTTGCAGTATGTTTTGGGTTACTCCATTGTTTATCATAGCTTGCCCAGCCACTACTACTTCTTTCTTCTACCTCTGCTTCTTCGAAGTCTAAAGATTTTTATGTATAAATTATAATTCAAATAACTGGGTAAAACACACTTTTCACAGGCTCTGTTCATCGCGTCTGGGCCAGACTTTAAGACGCAGATGGAGACAGAACCATTCCAGAACATCGAGCTCTACAACCTCATGTGTTACCTGACGGGGGTGACTCCCTCACCCAACAATGGCACCTTTGGTTCCCTCCATCACATCCTGGCCAACCCTCCAGCTCCACCCACACTTCCACCAGTCAGTCCTACTCACCAGTATTTCTTAGTTAACGTATCCACAAAAGGTGCCCTCAAGTAGTTGCCTGAATTTTAACTTTCTTTTTATTTCATCCAAACTTTCGTTTATAGCTTGGGGATGCCTCATCCAATCGACTTTAAAAATTTCAACGCTAGGAGCGGTTTATACAGCTATTGTCATGGTTAGTTACCCATTCGTTAGTGTTATTTAGCCCACTCCTGAAACTTACGAACATAAATACAAATGATTTATTTCTTTTCTGTAGTTTACAGGTAACGTAGTTTACACGTAATAAAATACTGTTAAGTGTGACCAGATCTACCTGGAGTTCGTTACCTTTGTAACTAGTTCAACTATCAAACTTTGGGGACCCAGACCCTGGACCCATTATGTACCTCTGTAATCTTTTGACTACCGCCTACAGGATGGGTCTGGGCCCCGGGGTGCATAATAAAGAGATTAAACTAAGAACTTCTGATTAACTTTAACTTTCAACACTGGAGTATTCTACTTAGAAGAAAGACGGGATTGTTACTGAAGTGTGTAGGCATCATTTTGCCCATTTATTTTTTGTTTGTTTTTTCTACGAGACAGCTTGAGTGCACCTCCTTGGAACGGTTCGTTAATGGATGATGCATCTTACTAGAAGGAGGTTAATCTTACAAGTCTGCGTAGATAGACAATTTAGAATCGATGGATTGCGTGTGACAACTGGAGAATGACTACACTGGTCACGTTCAAACTTTGAACGATGGTGTCTTACCAAGAGGGACATTGAATTTTGTAGTTCGTTTCAAAGCACTAATTTGCTGATTTTATCATTAAAAACTGAAATATCGTAGTTACTCTTCTGGGTCACTAAGAAATTGGACTAGCAAACTGAAAGCTAAAGAGACATAAAATACTTTAAACATTTACAATATCAATTTTTACATATTTTCCTTTTTGTCGTTTGTGAGATAACAATATTTTATCTAAATCTTACGACAAATGTTAAATATTAAGCAGAATTTAAAGTATTTATTACATCTTTACAATGCCATGGTGAGAATTTCATGTGAGAATTTCATTAAGTGAAAAGTAGTCTTTTAGAATCTTACTGATCGATACCATGCCTCACCCTTCTAGGGTAGGGTAGGTGCCTGAGCCCGAGCCTTTAGCTCATAAGACTGTCATTCCCATTTGCCCCCTTGGGGCGGGGATGGCAGACCAGAGAGGTCTAGCTTGTGGCTAGGCCTGGGGACAGTTGGTCCCGAAGATGAGGAGGTACTTGTGCCTCCTCCCATGGGAGACTTAGGTCTCAGACACTCCCTAAAGAGGGAGCCAAGACCGGGCCACCACTTGGAAAAGGCCCGGGCCGGGAGAATACCGGCTAATCTTTAATAATAATAATAATAATAATTAGAATCTTAGACTAAAGTCAGAGTCTAAGTCAGTGTCAGAGGTAAAGTCAGACTCATTGTTCATGTTGTGTTTTCATCATTATTACTGAAAGTGCTGGTGTTTCTCCCTGGTCTCCATGTGTGTGTGTACCCGTGACTGCAGGAGACCAAGCCGCCCACCTCTCCCTATCCTATGGTGATGTAAAACCCTTCTTGGACATATCTGAATCCCCCAGGAAACTTTAACTTTTTCCATGGGCGTTTTTTTTTTTTTTGATTTTTTTTTGTACCCTTTGCCCCAATGCTTTCCCTGTTATAAATAATAATAATAAATTATTATTTTTTTATAATTTTATTGATATCATTTTTTTTAAATTTTTGATTTTATTTTTACTATCTTATTATTATTGTTTATTATTATTGTTTTAAAAATAATAATAATAATAATAAAAATAATAATAATAAAAATAATAAAAATTTAAATTTTATTATTTTTAATTATTTTTTAATTATTATTATTTTTTATTATTATTATATTATTATTATTATTTTATTATTATTTTTTAATAATAATATTTTTTAATATTTTAATATTTTAAATTTAATAAAAAATTTTTAAAAATTAAAATTTTTTAAAAATTTGTTATTTTTTAAAAAATAATAACTATGGATTTGGAAAAGGCGAAATGAAGGGGGGTTGGGGGGGCAATGGGGCAGATGTTGCAAGTGTATGGTGTAGGAGGTAGGTTACGGGAAAGCATTGAAGAGTTTTTACGAGGATAGTGGGCTAAAGTTGATTTGGTAGGAAAGGGGGGAAAATTTTTCCAGTAAAAGTAGGCCTTGGGCCCAAGGTGTGGGGTGTCACCGTGGTTGTTAATATATTTATAGAGGGGGGTTGTAAGAAAAAGTAAATGCGAGGGTCTTGGAAAGAGGCGTTGGAGTTAAAAAGATAAAGAATCACACATAAAGTGGGAGTTTTTCACATTTTGCTCTTTGCTGATGACACTGTGCTTTTTTGGGTGGGGAATTCTAAAAAAAAAAGTTGCAAAAGTTGGTGGATGGAATTTGGTGGGGTTGAAAAAGAAAAAAATTTAAAAGGGGAATTACAGGAAAGAGAAGGTTATGAGGATAAAAAAAAGATTAGGTGATGAAAGTTGGATTTCTTATTGGGGGGAAAGGGATTTATGGGGGGGAAGGTTTGAATGTATCGGGATTTGGGGAGGGGACGTGTCGGGAGGATGGATTTCTGAAAGATGAGGTGAAACCATAAAAATTTGATGAGGGGAAAAGGGTGAGGGGTTTTTGCATTTGGGTCTGTGGGGACAAAGAACTTTGTCCTTGGGGGCCCAAAGGGGGAAAAGTATGGGGGAGTATAGTTTTACCAACGCTCTTATATGAGTTTGAAGCTTTGGGTTTGATAAATTTGTTGCGGGCGAGGAGAAGGCTGGAGGCAGTGGGATGTCAGTATGAGGGAAATGTGTGGTGTGAATATAATGCGGGAAAATTTTTCGAAATTTTTGGGAAAAGGTAGGGGGGTGCGGGATTCCCAAAAAACTGTTGCCCAAAAAGGTTTGGGGAAAAGGGGTTTTTTGGGGGGTGGTTCGAAATGTAGGAGAATGGAGAAAAAACAGAATGACTTAAAAGAGGGTATCGCTGTAGTGGGGGGGAAGGGGGGGTGGGGGGTCGGGCCTAGGAAAGGTTGGAGGGGGGGGGGTTTAAAGGAAAGGGTTTTGTGTGGAGGGGTTTGGGGATTCCAGCAGGCATGCGTGGGGCGTTTTTGGTTTGGAGTGAATGGAGACAAATGGTTTTTAATTACTTGACGTGCTTTTTGGAGTGTGACCCCAAAGTAACATTTATAAAGGGGGTTTTCGGGGGAAAGGGGGCCCGGCCCTGAGTCCCTGGAGAGGGGAAGTCAGTGCCTGCACTCTGAAGGAGGGGTTTGTTAAATGTTGCATTTTTTAAAAACTGTAGTGTAAAGCACCCTTCGGGCCAAGGGACGTGAGGGAAAGTAAATTTAGGGTGAAAATTTTTTTTTTCGGGCCCCCTCCCCTTTTGGTGGGAATGGGCCCCTTTGTTTTAAATTAAAAAAATAAAAAAATTATATGAAGTTTAAAAACCTTTAAAGATAGGTCGTAAAAAACGGCTTTTCAATGAAAAAAAAAAAAGAATAAGCAGGGACTCAAACCCGGGGTAAATGAATATGCAGGGCTTAACCCTTAAATGCACTAGAAGAAAAAAAGAATGCAGATGAAATTTATATACAAAATTTTTTGCCAACGGCCCCCCGACCAAAGTGTGGCCTGGCGTAATGCGCACAAAATGCGGGCTAAAGGGATAACGGGGAAAAGTGGGCGGGATCAAAATTTTCCTTTCACTAACAAACACAGGGGAGTAGTCGTCAAACAGAGTAAAGCCCGAGGAAAACTTACGGGAAAAGTTTCTTTCACAAGGCCCCAGTACTCCCCCTTCCTATCTTGTTCTCTCCCCCATACCCGACATAGACAAGGATGTCAGCCACGCCCGGGGTTTCCTTTGCAGATGAAAACCCGAATCTGCAGACAGTGTTTTTCCACTGCAGAAACTGAAAAGGGCCCCCAGGGGCCCATAAACCGAATCTTTCAGTGGGTTGCAGAAAACAATATGAAGTTCAACGATGAAAAATTTCAATTACTCAGAAAAGGAAAACACGGGGGGAAATTTTAAATCTTCATCAGAGAAAACAAAAAAAATTTGGGCCCAACAAAATGGGACCCGAAAAAAAACCAAACGCCCAAAGGCCCCGGGAAAATTTGGATCTTTTTTCGGAAGGATCTCCCCTTTCAAGGCCCAAAAACCTTTTTATCAATGCACCCGGGGCGAAAATAAATAAAAACAGGAATGGATAAGGGAAAAAACCTTTTAAAAACTGGGGGGGCCCAAAGGCCAATGATGACACTCTTCGGGGCCATTTTTGTCTTTTAGGCTGGAATATTGCTCCCCCACAAAACCCAGCCCCTTTCCAAGGGCGGGTTTGAAATTTTTCTAAACCTGGGAAAATTTTAGGGAAAAACCTTTCCCACGGGTTGCGCATAAGGAGATAAAACACCTCAATTACGGGGAAGCGTTTGGGGTTTCCCTTTAAACCTGTTTTCCCGGGAATGCAGGGGGAGGGGATACTTTGATTATATACACCGGGAAAAACCCTAAAAGGGACTAGTCCCGAACTTGCACAGGGAAAACCCACTCACTAGGGAAAAGCAAAGATTGGCGGGACGTTTGAACATCCCCCCAATGAAAACCCAAGGAGTGTCACTAGCACGAAAGGGGCCATCAATAAGTGTCAGGGGCCCGGGGACTGTCGCTGCCCCCCAGCTTTACATAAGGGGGATTACCAACGGCCCCCTGGCGTTTCAAAGCGGGGCACTGGACAAGACCTAAAGTCGGTTCCTGACGACCCGGGCTGGGGGTCGTATTTTGGGGTTGCGTGCGCCAGCAGAAACAGCCGGGGTTGATCCGGATCTGACCCACCAGGGGGCCCGGGTTTCACAGACCGGGCGGGGGGGCTTTGGGCCCCCGGAAACCCTCTTCCGGGAAAACTCCAGATAGTCACACAGCCCAAAAAAAACTGAGGGGCTGAGTGAAAAACATAGTGGGACTTGCTGTGTGCAGGGAAAACCAAGGTTCAAGTCCCTGCCCCTTCCTCTGTTTATACTTAAAAGAAGTTTTAAAACCCCCATTAATCAGTCTAAAAAGAGAGCAGTAAAGGCTTGATCCCCCTGCTTAAAAAGTAAGGTGCCCTGGAAAAGGGTTTTTCGGGGGAAAACCGGGGTCTCATGGTAGACAGGGCCGGGATTACCCCGGCTTTTAAATCGGGGCCCCGCCCCGAAACCCCCCCGGGAAAGTACAAACCCACACCCCTGCTGGTCAGGTACTGATTTTGGTGCCTGCCCCGGGTTTTTTTATGAAGACAGCCGGGGGTCTATTGGAAACCCCCAAATTATGTTTTGCTGGGGGGCATTTTGAACGTTCTTGGGCCCCTGCCCTTTTGTGTTGGGGTCTTTTCGTGCTAGTGGCCCCCCTGCTTTTCTTTAAAAGGGGGGATTTTGGCTCGTTTTCGAGTATTTTGCTTTATAAGAGTGATTTTCGTTTTGCGGGTTTTGGTACTAACCTTCTAGGATTTTCCGGTGTATAAAAATCTTGTATCTTTTCCCCCCTCCCGTTTTTGGGAGTACAGGTTGGGGGAAAACCCTTTAACCCATTCTGGGAAAATGATTTGTTTGTCCCCAGGTTAAAATGAATGCCGTGGAACCCCTATCCTGTAACCCCTTTTCCCCCAAAAGGGGCCCAGGGAATTTCCCCCCCGGCCTTTTGGTGAAAGGTGCTGTTAGTGTGCCATAAATTATTCCACCCTGGTTTTAAAACAAAGAAACCGGGAAGATTTCCTCCTTTTGGAAATTTGGGCCCCCCTTAGTTTTGAAGGTTCTCTTTTTTCCATCCTATTCATTTTTCTTGTAGATGCGATTGATACAATGTTTGGTCTCGGAAGGTGAGTTTCCTCTGAAAATTATCACCCCTAGGTTTTTTTTTGTTTTAGTTGGAATTTGTTTTATACCCCTTTACAGTTTTAATTTCTTGGGTTTTCCATATCGGAGAAATTTTAAATTTTCCATATTGAATTTCATATTGTTTTTGGGGCCCCCCCTTTAAAAGTTTTGGTTGATTGGCCCCCTTTGTCTTGCATTTGTCTTATTTGGAGGACAGTTTTCATGCAAATTCGGGTGTCATTCCCAAAGGGAAGACACGGGTGCTGTGGCTTACACCCCTGTCTTTGTCAGTTTATGAGGATGAGAAAAGGCTGGGAGCAAGTACTGTGCCTTGGGGGGAAACAGGCTTTTTCCCCCGAAACCCGCCTCAGGACTTTACTTTTTTTCACCACTACTTTTTGGTTCTATTTGTTAGGAAATTTTAGATCATCTACCAGCTTTAATTTTATTCCCTTTATCACTTTTTTTTGTGCCCCTATTCCCACCATGGTCCCCCTTTTTGTAAAAGGGGCCTTTTCCCAAATCTGTGTTTTCTACATCTGCTTTTTGTTTGTCTTCTGGGGCCCTTCAGGACCTTGTTTTTAGGGGCCCGCATTTGGGGGACAGACAGGAGCGCCCGGGCTAAAAACCCCCAGGGTTCCCCGGGGTTGTGTAACTGATGGGTATCTGAGGGGTTTGGCGATCTTTACTTCATAGAACCCTTTCAAAAAAATTTT